CACTAATGTTTTTTAGTTTCTGACCATCTATCAAAATATCAGGACAAGTTTGGAGCTTATGCCGATTTGTGAAAAACATTGAAACAGTATTCAGAAAGATATCTTGAACTTTTGTTCCTCGTCTGAGCAGTTTTATAAAATTTAGTCTTGCAAAATATTTWATCTCCCTGACAGACACCATTTTTTGACCTTTTTTATTTCGACAGTGGCAACAAGAGGTAGGGGAGTTATTTTGTAGTTGGTGGATTGCTGGTTTAAACCTCGCTCTGTCTGTCTCAGTCATTGTGTCCCTGGGCAAGACACTTTACCCAACTCGCCTGCTGSTGGTGGTTAGAAGGTCTGGTGGCACCGGTGCATGGCAGCCTTGCCTCTGTTAGTGTTCCAGGGCAGCTGTGGCTGTAGCTTACCACCACCAGTATATGAATGGGTGTGTTCACATGATTGTCATGTGAACAGAGGGAAGTTGAAGAAATTTATTAGTYATGTTAGATACTGATTTTAAAAGTACTACACCATTTTCATAGTTTTCCTTTTTAAGCATTATTTCTTATAATCTATTGTTTGACTATTGTTATGTCTTGATTAAAATAGGTTTAGTTACATGCCTGAAACACCATGACAACACATAATAAAACCGTTTATAAAAACATCAGGAGAGCATTGCTGTTCAGAGTGTCTGTGATTCAGCCGTAGGCCTGTGGTGGGCGTACCAGGCACTGAAGAGCCATGTATTTWTAAACCGGGACTTCCGGTTTTCATTCAGTGTTGGTTTCATGTTTGCACAGAGAACATTAAAGCACCGTTCTCTCCAGTCACTGCTGTTGTATGGTCATTCTCTTCACATTGTTATCTATTCAACATTCATGTGGTTTCATTAGGATTTCAGTTAACGAACACTAAATTTTCTAACAGGTGAATGATTGATTATAGTATGAAGCACTTAGGAATCCTTGGACTTGATAAAGCACTATGTAAGTTTAGACCATTTAGCATTTGTACCATTTGAACTTAAAAAAAATCTACAAATCCTGAGAAGACTGATTGAACTTATTTTTGCAAAGGGAAAATTGGGCTCACAGCAGATTATTTAAAAACAAGTAGGTGGATTTTGTTTCTCTCTACTTGTCTCCAAGTTCATGTAAACAAAACCGTCACTCATTTTACACCCATCCTTTGCACCATTAAACATAATGTGTCTATATTTCAGGCTTGAAGAAAGAAAAACATGCATCAAAAGCCAGAAAGCCATTTTCACTGAGTCAGGCATTGATCAGTGCATTCATAATAAAATAAAAGTCTTCCTGATGCCCTGCAGCAGTACAGTGCTGCTGAGCTCAGGCCTCTGCAGCACGAGTGCAATGGTGCTTATAGAAATGATGATGTGGTTTAATGTGTTTTAATAAGCAAAATTGTGTGTGTATGTGTGTGTCTTAATGCAGATGCTCTGATGTCTCCAGATGGCASAGAGGAGAAAGTGTGTCTACAGTAAGACGCATGAATGTGACACGTCATCACTTTGATTAACTTTACGTTTGACTGCTGGAGGTAAATGAATGTTTACCCAAACAACAAACCAGCGTCCTCTCACGCTTACACTTCGCCCCCTCTCTGCTCATTGCTGAAGGGTGGAGGGTGGAGGGGATGGGGGGGGAATGCTGACTATAGCGATTTCTCAAACTTGAGTATCTGCCATAGCTGCTGTCACTTCTTGCTCGTTGCCATGCCAACAACACTGTCACAGAGGCAGCCACTGGCGCCGTGCTCTGGGTTTGTCGCTCCACTGCAGAGGGGGCAGGCTGCCACCGTGACGCACTGTGGGTGATTGCACAAAAGGAAAAMCTAGTCTGAAACTAATGATCATGATTTAAAGAAAGTATTTCTGATGGATTTCTGCATCAAAGTTTTTGTTTGTCGTATAGAGTAAATTAGAGAAGGAACATATGATCAGGAAGACACTTAATCCAACACTTTTAGCCAAATAGTTTTTAAAAATACAGTTAAAGTATTCAAAGCCAGCAAGTAATAAAAAGAAATATGTGCAACTGCAGGGAACAGAAGTGGAAAGTGGAATCCAAACATCTGCTGCCATTAATGTATGAAAATTAAAGTGCTGAAAACCTATAGGATTCTTTTAGAGCAAATAGGAAAATAATAAAACTCAGGTAATCACCTCACGATGAAATATGGAGTTTACTAAAATGTAATAAGGTTATGGACTTCAAGACAACAGATTGTTTTTACATACGCTGACAGTTGGAAGAAATAAAATTGATGCTCTTGCAAAATTGTATGGCTTTTCTTTAGCTAACACAAAGTTGGTGCAAAGCTAAAAATAGTTTTGAAGTGTCATAATAAACAAAAAAATAAATAAAACACCTTAGCTCCAACTCCGT